AGTTAGGTTGAATTTTTTACCTTGCACCCTTTTTCTTTACTATCCCTTTAATATCTATTTTCTTTTTAATATTGTTTCATCCTTTTTCTTATTTCATTTTTGATACTTACCTTTCTTTTAGTTTTTTCATTGTCATTTTCTTTCCACCATTTTACTTTTTTTTTCCTTCCTTTTTTTATTTCTTATTTATTATTTTTCTTGTTTTTTTTTTTAATTTTTAAAAATCTCTTCTCTTTTTCTTTCATGTCTTCTTTCTTGCATAATAATCCATGGGGACAGTGTAGGTGTGGATGGGTGGGGGTTTGTTAGGAAATATAAAGAATAAAATATTGCGCAGCACTTATTATCTTGGGGATGAGAAAAGGATGGGGAAATATGTGCTACTAAAAAAATTACTTGTGCTACCAAATTTTTTTGGGGGTGCCAGAAAATTTTGGCAGTGCTACCAAGAAAAAAAGTTAATTTCAAGCCCTGAATATTATCAACACTTTATTGATTGGTAACCATTCCACTTCCTTTAAATTACAGTTAATCTCAAATCTAAATATAAATATCTACTGTACAGTACTACAATCACAATGTTGAAAAAACAAGTTATTAAGGAAGTAAAAACATGTACTGCAGAGAGCAATGCATTGATTACAGTTCATCTAATACTGTATCCAACATATTGACGTCACATTCTTAGAGTCGCAACACTGTTTAAATAAGTGATTAACAACTGATATGTCAAATCACACTGAAAACAGCAACTTTGTGTCAAGTGCACGAATTGACTATAAACTGTTGATGTAAAACAAAATGTTAATATACTTTTATAACTAATTATTATTATAAGTCAATCATGACGTCATCCCAATGTTATTTGTCTATTCCCCAGCGTCAACTAATTTTTCTATTAATGGACGCTTGGCTTGATTTTTTTTCTAAAAAAACTAAAATTAAAAGACGGTGATTGACTTATAAAGCAATTAGTATTTTGATTTGATTTCTATTTTGACAGCTTCTGAAACCAAACTAGAATATTTAATGTTAATAATATGTTTTAAATTTCATGAAATTTCAAGAAATTAATATGGTAAAATCTTAATTTTATGCATTCTATTTAACTCATCCTTTCATAAAATAAGTTTACAAACATAATAATAATAATTTAGTTAATAAAATCTAATGATTCAACTAAACCTGGCGCACTCGACGTTGAGCAACTGGCAAATTCGTCTGCCCTAGGCACTAGTACTACACAACCATCATTGTAAACAATTTTTGTGTGAATGCATCCTCATAAATTCAGTTGTCTATTAAAATGCAATGTTAGCCAGATTTAAAGCTTGAACACGAGTATAATATTCCACCATATTTTTCTTTATTAAAATGTATATTAAAATAAAAAATTAATTATGTAAATTAATGTTTTATATTCCCCATCTTAGAAAGTATTGTTATTGTCAATCAGAGATGTAGCTGTACAGTAAACTACAAGGGTGTGTGGTAGTCATTTTAAGGGTGGGTGGGGAATTACTCTAAATAATAAGAGTTCATTTTAAGGATGAACAAGGGGTTAATTAATAAAGGTGGGTGTAAGGCCAAGTTACTTTAGACTAAGTAGAAAATTTAAAAACTGGGTGGCCCAGCCCACCATAAACTACATCACTGCTGTATGAAACAAAAAATTGTACCTTACGATGAGTAAGCCTAATAGTGGTAACATATGTCTTGATATGATATTGTTATTCCAGTCTCTGGTTGGATTAACACGTTTAATGTTTTAGTATTCATGAACAGATTGTGGCTGATATTAATGAGTCATATATCTGGCATTCACTGGCCAGCTTCTCCCAATCACTCAATCTTTCATACAGTCATTATAGTAAACATAGCAAAATAACGCTAAGTAAAGATAGATTTGACAGCCATCAAAAACAGGTGTAATTACAGTATAAGTTATACTGTAATAGATAATTTATAATATTTGATTTACATTATTAGTAGGTCAAATGAAAGAGTATCTTGTAAAATAATTAATATTATTAATATTAACGGTAGTATTATAATAATGAAAAACAAATCTGTATTCTTTAATCCTTGCCATAACATCTTTCCTACCTTTAATTGTTATCACAATCTTCTTACTACTTAAATAGTAATACTACTGTACTTTCAACAGTTAATGCCTCTACTTAAAATGATTTTATACTTGTTTTCTAAGTTCTCCCTAGTACATAAAAACATCATTCATCATTAAAATCAGCTTAAGAACACACAGTAGAAACAAAATATTACAATGGGTTTAGAGTAGAATGTTCACACATAGTCAAAAACATAAATTGACTAAATTGTCTAGTTGAAACATATCCAAAGGAATGCTGACAATTGTTTTATCACATGCATCTAAACTACCTTGGGGATAAGACAAGACCTACAGCAGGGTGGTCATAAAAATCAGTCGGAGGGCCAAAGTGAATTTTTTATTTAACACAGAGGGCCGCACCCAAACTTTGATGTTACCAGTATGCTACAAAAACCTCCAAGAATTGCTTTTACACCACTTTCTTCCCAATTTTAAGATTACTTTTTACAGTTGATTGCTGTCAGGCGGTAAACAAAACAAGTGTTTTCTAGCCAATGTTTCTTGGCAGGCTGCACACATACTGTTGGGTTTCTAATTCATTTTTGCAGGCTGCAAAAAAAATGGTTTAGGGCTGCATACAGCCAGTGGGCCACACTTTGTCCACCTGTGACAACGTACTAAACTGCATTCATTAGTATCAGTAACTGCTACATGCACACCTCCCAGCTATATTGTTCTATTCATAAAATTTTCCAATTAACATTGACAATGAAAGGCAAGATAATTTGACCTGCACATGATCAATGGGTTCATTTTTGCAAATAACGTTCAATTAATTGTCTCCGTAAAACCTGTATCATGTATCCATGGTGGCAAGTGATTTCAATTGTGTAAATGTATCGTGTTGATGTTTTTAACTATCAGCAATAAGGACAATGTGTATTATCAAAAAAATTGCATGATTTACAGTTTGTATAAATTACATTCCTATTTGATAAGATTTCAGCTTTAAAATTATTATATATAATTTAATTTAATGTACAACACATTATTTGACATTTAAAGAGTTAAATTTATGTCAGTTCATTATCGTATTTTTAAAACCAACTTGAAATGTAGCACTAAAAGATATTTACAAGCATCTTTCCTTTGACAATTTATCTGATCAATACAGGATATACTTCTTACAAGCTAGAATATTTTATAAAAATGAAATGTTAATGATGTTAGCTATTTTCAACAACTTAAATTTAAATTTATTTTGAATACATAAATATGTGTAATATAGCCTATTTTTTATAATTTCAGAGCAGTTTTTAAATTGATAATTTTTGTTCGTGTTACCAATGAAGAACAATTACTGTAATACTTATTTTTGTGTCACATTACTCTCATATTCTTACATGACAATATTCAACTTGTGAAAGTGAACCTGATACTTTGTACAGCATACAGGACAGTATGTCATTTTACTTTGTTAAGTGTGTACATGTTTTTCATTAACTTGAATTTGTAAATACAACTGTTGAATGTTCAGTCATTTCAATATTTATTTATTGATTCATTTCAATGAGTTTGGACATTGAACTTTTAGAAAGTTCAAAGTACCAGATATCCTAAAGTTACTACTAGAAATTGAGAGAATACAATTGAATGACAATCCTCCTTTACAATAGAACATTTTGTTGTGGTTGTATTCCAAATAGAGTAAGCTTGTCAACTCAGACAAAACCCATCAATGGAGTTCATAACGGGAAGCATCATAACAAAAGAAGATTCAATGGACTATAGGTGAAAATATGTCTGCAATGTTATGGTTCACGTTTTTTTAAATATTCTTTCTTGCAGTATACTGACAGAGTTTACATTGATGGAACAATGGTCATACATACTGTAGAAGAAACATTATTCTTAACGAAAGAGACAATATCAATCTACTGTATCAATGAGATAGAATAAACCGTGGCATTTTGAAGCATTGAAAAGAATGCAATAATGCAACAGTAGACTCTCTATTATGGGCATCAACTTAGATATCAGGATGCCAAAGTTATAATTGAAATTCCTTATGAAAGTTAGCTTTTTACAGAAATTTAAGAAAATTATTATGTTTCATAGAAAACAGAGCTATAGAAACAACAGATTTTATTATTTAAAGAAAATTGATGCTTAGTACATCAGTCCAGCAACAAAAATACTACATATTTTAATACTGCAAAACAAATGGGCCTCATAAAAGCATCTGTTAAAAACGCATTGAAGAAGTTTTTAAAAAGGTGTAAATAATTGTTTTAAATGGAATTGAAAATAGAATTTTATGTTCTGGTATCCAACATCATTACAAATCTAATTAGTAATATGGTACTGTTAATAAATTTATAATGAACTTCATATAAAGCATGTTATCAGATTAAATGAATAAGCATTTACTAATTTTCATAATGTTAATGGTAATGTATTTAGAAACATGGTAATGTATTTAGAAACATTGTAATGTTGTCCTTTTTTATATAATTGTATTCGATAACTCAATATTACTAAATAATTAAATCTTGAAAAAGTTTTCAAACTATAAATTTGAATTTAGTACTTTAAAATTTAGATATTGAATTTGTTGTGTTACATCCTGTGAATGCTAGAATGATGGTCGGTGACAGTCTGAATGGTTCATCCTTAAAAAAGATCTGTTGCGCGTGCGTTGTGGCGTTCTTCATAGAATCCCGTCAGCCGACGACCACACTGAGTGCCCCACTTTAAAAAGTGTTCCCCTTCATATATACTGTACTAGAGGTTGGCCTGAATATTTAAAAAAATATATTTCCTCCTATAGGAGGTCTTCCGAATAGGGGTTCCCAAAGGAGGGGTTAACTGTAAATGGAAACACATGCCAGTATAGTTACTGTTTTAAAAAATAAAATATTATACTTACAATTCTTCTCTTTGTCTTTGAGATAAAACCATCTTGTTGATTGTTTATTAATTGATGATGAAGCAAATATCATCAAAATTTTAAGTCCATATGTAAAAGTCTCTCAGGTAGCTATACTCCGTTTTAATTGTCGTCAAATTCAATTTTAGTAAGAAATAGTATTAATACAAATTGCAGTCCGTTTACATTACTGCTTTGTCCCGATAGGGATTCTGTGAAAAAAAGAATGCAGATATTTATAAGAAATTTTTTAATTGTTAACTTTTTATTTACTCAATTTTGTTGTTTTTTAAAATCCTTTTTTTGGCAATTAATTACAGGGTGTATTAGCATGTCCGGTTATGGACAACTACCCAAGGTAGGTCAAAAGTGGACGACCTACAGATAACTGACATTACAGATAATAAAAAAATTGGCATTACTTTACTCCACTCAATATTAAGAAGACATTTGACGACGACAACATGTTCCAAGACTTATTTGGCATTATTCATGAATTAATAAAAAAGTGATGACAGTAATAAAATTCTTGGATATTCAGGTGACATCACATGGTCCATATTCAATCACAAAATTTAAGAAAATTATTATGTTTCAAAGAATACAGAGTATAGAAACCAAGTACAGTATATATCAGTCTAGCAACAAAAATACTATATATTTTAATACTGCAAAACAAGCGGGCAAAACCCTCATAACAAAGCATCTGTCAAAGACGCACTGAAGAAGCTTTTAAAAAGGTGTAAATAATAATTGTTTTTGGAATTGAAAATAGAATTTTATGTTCTGGTATCCAACATCATTACAATATAATCTAATTATTAATATGGTACTGTTAACAAATTTATAATAAATTTCATATAAAACATGTTTATCAAATTAAATGAAGAAACATTTAGTAATTTTCATAATGTTACATTGAATGAAAATTTGTAATGAAATGAAACATTGTAATGTTGTCCTTTTTTATATTTGTTAGATACAGTAACTCTCAAATAATAATAATAAATAAAAAATCTATTACAATAAAAAATTATTCTTTTTTTCAAGTTTGAATCAAAGTTGAAATAGAAAATAATGTTGATGCTTGAAATCTAGGAGAAATCAGGACATTCATTAAAAAAATATACAAAACCTTGATTTTATATTATTAATAAAAGAACTATTTTCACCTGCATCACCAGCACTACAGAATTTACTTTTTCTAGTTCTTATTTTAACCAGGCACACTGGACTTAGCCTAGTCTACAGGAAATAACAATACATACAGACAGCATTACTTCATTCAATGATGATTGAAAGAGGTGGAGCAATGGAGAATCAAATTTTGTCTGACCTCGTCCTAGGAATAGCTAACCCTTAAATTCGAATGAATGTCATATATAGCCTATTTAGACTAGGCATACAGTCTGCTCGTTCTGCCTTGTGGTGGGTAGACAGGTAGGTAGGCCTAGCCTATTTAATAAACTAGGCTGGCTAGAATTTTAGACTCGGTCTGAACCGTCCCCATTGCATTGAATGAATCACTCAGCTCAGGCTCAGCTAGGGCCTAGGCTACATCATTGACATTATTTACCTACAATTTTCCAATATCTTCCTTTCAAATTCTACTGCGATTAACATACATTGACTAAACTGATCTGAATTTTTACATTTCTGCTTCATATATGGGTTATAACAAATTTTACTCCATATGTCATTCGGAAGCCTACTCATCAAAAAGGGATTCAAGATGGGCAAATCCTGTAGCGATCACTCCCACTTTTCAGACAACAAGATGGCGACCAGAAGCAACCGTTTGTAGTTGGGCGAGTTCCAACAGTGAAAATAGCGCATAAGATTTTTCAATCAAGAAGTATTGTCTTATAACGTAAATAGACAGACAAACCTGTTATCGAAAATCCGATTATATAGGTGAAACAGGAACACCAAATATACGGAAAACACTACCAGAATATGTCGTCGATCTTCGCACATCCATCCACACGTTCAAAACCTACCCACAATGCACATAAAAAAAGAAATTTACCGTTTGCGCACAACGAGCCGGACATATACCACAATGCATTAACTTTGTTGCTATGGTATGTCGTCTGCTTCAAATCCAATGTATCTAGCCTATGGGTTTACGACGCAACGGTAACGATACAAGTTACCTCAATACACATAAATTTCTCTCCACTGGCAATATACATACAGTAACAACTTTTATTCATAAACTATATTTAAATAGAATTCAATTTACTATGCTATGTTTCTGTTCGAATGTAAAAATTGTTAGATAGGCCTATATAAATTGTTAATAAAACAGTAATACTAAATTGATGGAAGCAAATGGCAAACTAGTTACTTCAAACCATATACTAGCATTTGTCATGAAAGTCCATATCTGAACAAAATCCTTGGTGTTTCTTCGCTTCTACCCGATTTTGTGAATTGTTCTCTCATAACTGGAATTAGAAAACAGCACCCTTTCTTGAAATCTGGATACAGCAGCGCATACTAGACGGTAATTAATTTAGGGCCTTTCACAATAGGCAGGGCGGATTTGTTGGGGTACCCCCTCCCCTTTTGGAAAGTAAAAAAAAAGAAAAGGAAAGAAAGAAAAAAAAGGGGGGGGGGGAATGAGCCCACAAAACGTCTCAGAGGTTATTTCCTGGCTTTTAGAAAACAAAAATTTCGCGGGGCATGCCCCCGAACCATTTAGGGTGGTTTTATCGACTTGATCGGCCCAACTTTTGCCCCTCCCCCTTTTTTGGGATATCTGGATCCGCCCCCGATAGGCCCCAAATAATTAGTAAAAAGCAAAATCAATTACTGTTAAACTTTAAAGTATTGCCACCTAAACGTGCTATAACCTGATTTAAAAGATAATGCTTATATGTTTATTTGCCCATACTAACTTCACTGGATTCAAAATTTCCTTATTCGTGTCTTCAGAAAACTGATGGATCACATCGCAAAAAAGAGTGCAAGATTAATACAAAACAACTAAGAACATTTTAATTATAATTAGGCCCTAAAACTTATTTGATATTATTTTGACTAAGTAAAACGAGATCATTTTCCTCACTATTTTTAACAGATGTTTAAATACTATTCCTATATTTTTGCATAGGCTATACTTATACTTACCGGGCCTACATTTCAGGCAGCAAATTTTGTAGAAGGCCGGACCGGGCCTAAATCATTTAAACTTTTCAATCCCTAAAGTTGAAAACCTATGGTTCCTTTAAATAAGCATTTTTTTTAAAGTATATTTTTTAATTGTTTTCTCAATTTTTCGGGAATATTATAATATGATCGCCGTCTATTTTGGATAAAAATGAAAATATTGTAACATGCAGACGACGGATGTATTATTGTATTGTGGGTAATCAAAATGCGGAAGTGTTTTACCGATTGGAAAAGGGTGTGAATACAAATCAGCTCCGCCAATATCAAGTGAAATACATTTTTTTTAAATTACTTCATGAGAGCATCTCAATTTGAATTTGTTTAAAACACCGTATATCAATATGCCGGTGAGTTAATTAAGAAGGCTGTTGTTATAAATATGATGAAATATTTTTAAAAGAACTAGCCTAGCTAGGCCCTTGTCAGTATTTGTGTAGGCTTGGCCCTGGAGCTGACAGTGTTGGTTTACTTCCGTATTTCCTCGTCGTTCGCCGGTGCCAAGACACGCGAGCTCTGGCCGCGACTAAAAGGAGATTTTGATCCTAGGCCCAGCAATGAATTTTAGTAGTGTTATCCTATTATCCGGTATATTGGTATTTAATTATACTATAAATGAATCTGTGCCATTATGTTACAATGCCTTTGATAACAAAAAATAAATAAATAAATAAAAAAACCCAACCAATCATTCAACGTCCAGTGGATGTTTACAACAAAACTGCAGATTCCCCTCCAATTCTAAAGACCACTTTTGGACCAGGATTTCCATGGTTTTTAGCAGCTTTGGTCTCTAATTAGAATAATAGAGCTAAATACATTTTAAGAATTAAATTATATATATACAGTATATATATATATATATATATATATACTCCCTTCAAATTATATATATATATATATATATATATATATATATATATATATAAGATAATCGATTAAATTTTATTTTTATTAGACATTTACGCTAGGCCTAGGCTTCATCAATAATTTCAACAAGATCTTACACTAAATTTATGCTTTAAATTGCAGACTTTATAAAAATACCCAAATTTATATATTTTATTATATTTAATATTTATAATTACTTAAATGTTTTGCAGTGAGGTTTATTAATTAAGGACATTGGTGGTTTACTTATATAGACTTGACCTATAGCTTTAATGTTGTTATCATGCATAAAATGATTGCAATGCAAAATTTTCAATTTTGAAATGGAACAAATAGAAAAAAATAATTTAATTTTAATTTAATTTGGTTTTTGTGTTGCAGGCTTACCACTCTTCATTATCAGCTCCAAAAGAGATTTGCAAAATGGCTTTGTTGCCGATAAACACGAAATATAGAGGCCCAGCTCCACCTGGAAGTAAGTTAACTATTAATGGTATAAGGCCAAATAAAAAAAATTACTTGTTTCTCGTCCAGTCAACCATCCAATATCTCTGCCTCACCAATTTTTTTTTTCTTTTATTTGCTTTATTTTACAAAATGTATGAAAATCTAGCTTACTCACATTAGTAAAATTCCTCTTTCGATCGTTTGTGGTTGGGATTCATATGGTATGCATCATGTCGAGTGCTTCTTTTATTTGCTTTCAATGTATCTACTTGGTAAAATTGGGAAAGTAGTAGCCTGTTTCCCATCAGACCATCTTGGATTTGCCATCTCGGCGTGAAAAAAAAAATAGTCCCCTCATTCTCCTTTTTTCAACATGTTAGGTCGAGAAACTTTTTTTTTTACTTGGCCTAATATACTGTAAAGGTGCATTCACATCAGATTTGAACTGAAATTCGGAACATGTTTTCTGATGGTCTGAACGCCAGAGGCCCTATTCATACACGCTGATTCAATTTTCTTATCGGATCAGTTCGGTAGGCCTTACAATCCGACTATTCAGATTCAGTGTGAATGAAGTATTATTATTATAAAGAAATAATCATGATTTTACCCTGTTACTTGACTATATTCCAACTAATATAATATTGAGATAGTAGGCATACTCTAGGGAGGGCTATGTATATTACATTCACATTTGCTGTAATTTTGATTTTTTTTTTTTCGCCTTTAACATTTTTCTAACAGCGGGTGATGCAGATATAATTGATGAATCTTTGCAGTATTTTAAAGCCAACGTCTTCTTCAAAGAGTATGAAATTAAGGTTAGTAGGATAATAAATGCATTTATGGTAATTATTATAGCATGAGATGAATCTTTATATAACACCTTGATCAAATATTTAAATACATGTGTTTGAACGGTACAGTATTCACAAATATAATGATTATATTAATGGCTAAAGATAATGTTGATAATCTTCTTCTCGAGTCACTACGAAGCTAGTGTGTGTGATTTTGCTTACGTTGTGTGGTAGAAGAATTCTCATGCAGGATACCTGACATGGGCTGCAATGTAAACACTCCTTCTGTGGCTGGACAGGTGGGGCTGAAATGGACCAGTACACCAGGGTAACCCCCTACTCTTCTCAAAGGATGTATTGGGTTCTTTAAAGTGCACACGGGACAATTGAGTAAACTGGACCTACAGTTTAGAGTCCTTATTATCCGAGAAGACTTGATCCACCACAGGGACCATTTATGCATCGTGAGTGGATTTCCCGCACGATTAAAAAATCATAATAGTACTGGGTTTGGTCTACAGGAGTGTTTCGAAAAGGTCATTCCATTCATAGAAAAAGCCTTTTGATGGAGAAATTGTACCTTTTCAGCAAGGCTTGCCTAGGTCGAAACTAACTCCGGCTATATAAAGTTGATTAGAAGATTGAAAATGTTATTCTTGTTAAT